TATCTGCAAGCAGACGAACAACGTCTCGAAATGCAGGCTTGCCACCTGCAAGCCAGACAGCTTAATCTCAACACTATCCAGGAGCCCAAGGACTGTTTATATTATAACAGAGCTGCCTGAGTTTTCAGTTTTTCAGAATTTGTTTAATTTTCTTGTGCCTCGGGCAGCCGAGATGACCTACTGGCTAGGTAAGAGAAAGACAGCTGGTAAGATCAAAGGCTGCACACGGTAAATGTCTCTGATTGACGAGTTTTTTTGTGGCCCTCGTGCGGTTAAGGACAGGGATGGCAGGCAAGGAACTGGCCCGCAAATTCAACATTTCTGAAGGCCAAGTAAGCAAGGTGTTTGTTACGTGGATCAAGTTGCTCCAGCGACAGTTAAGGGTACTGTTACTGTCTCCGACAGTTGCTGAAATTCAGCCCAGCCTCTCTAACGCCTTCCACAAGTTTTCTAACACGAGGGTTGTCCTTGATGGAACCGAGGTACGTATCCAGAAGCCGTCGTTGTTGCTTGCTCAGAGGCAGACCTTCTCGCCCTACAAACACTACAACACCTACAAAGCGGTTGTTGGATGTACACCTGAAGGGTACATTTGCCATATTTCAGAACTGTGGGGTCGGACTGTGTCAGACAGAATTATAGTTGAGGAGAGTGTGCTCATGGATCAGTTGGAGTCAGGTGATGCCATCATGGTAGACAAGGGATTCAAATTTAATAGCCTACCACCTGGGCCCGTTTGCTCGAAGCTGGTTTACTAACCGCGGTTAACCGGATTTCCCTACGAGGGGGAATTTTAGGTCACGTGACCTGCAGAGTAGGGACGCCGGAGTAAAATAGTACCTAGCATCAGACAATATGTCCAATATGGCTGCTACGGCCGCTCGTCACGCTTGGGAACATTTATTTTTACGAAGATGCGTCATCCTCGTGTCACGAAAAGGACATTTCAACACAAAGTCTACTGTCGGAGTTGACGGCGAGCATGCTGTGGGAGCAGGGCCACGCCTGACTGGTTTCGTCGAGTTTGAATAACATCACGCACCGCCCTCTGAAGTGGACTTGTTTTATTGAATGCTACAGTCAGCGGGATCTTCAAAACGTATATCCTAGGTAAGTGCCGCGATGTTTCACGAGAAAGTTATGAGATTGTACCGCTATCAAAATTTCATGTCAGCAGAACTTGCGTTGTAATCAACGTCCAGCTTTCTTTTCTTTTTTTCACTTTTAAAACCTACCTCGAGCCCCAATCGCATGTTAGTGCAACAAATCTCTCTCCGAAAAACGGCCTCTAATCGCGGAGTCTGGTTTATAGTACAGTTCGTCGTGTTTTGTATTTGCAGCGCATCCACAACACCGACGACCCCCTTTAGCGACGGTTCAACGAAGGCAAGATGCAAACTAAAAACTTCCCTCAGAAGCAAAGATCCGTTACCTCAACAGAAGCTGCCGGCACGGATGCCGGCACGGCATTCGATCGAACTTCGGTACTGTCGTCTGCGAACTTGTACAACTGGAAAATAAACAAAGCTTCTATCGGAAAAGAAGTGTGCATATTTTCTCTTGCGCTTGTCTTTCTTCAATTTATTTTGTTTCAGATAACTAGATGTCTTATTAGGATTATAAAAAGAGACATAATTACGTAGCAGACGATCACAACCAATCTGAAATCTAAAATGAGTCAGGCGAATGCAAGCATCACCATGAAACGGCAGAGGAATTGGTCATTGGATGAACAATTAGAACTAATTCCGGCAGTGGGGGAGAGGAAACATCAAATTATGGGCAAGTTCAGTGCTACGGTCACGACCCAAACAAAAAGGCAGGCATGGGATGAAATTTACAGAGCCATGGGCTGTTTGCGCACCCCAGACCAGCTACAACAGTGCTGGAGAAACCTCCTAAAAAAGACTAGACAACTCTACAGCTTATTCAAGAAGCATGAACAGCGCACCGGTAAGTTCATTGTGTTCTTAAGTTCAAAAGATATTGCATTGCTTTACTGATAATACACGAGCAACCAAACCTAGAAACGTGAATGTGGACATTTGTATATTCGTTCACCTTTGCCCTCTGCTGGGAGTCGACTTTTCACCTTCCTTGAACAGCAGCATAAGCAGTGTTACAGCATCAGAAAACAATTTATTCCAGTTTATGTACAAGTTCTGCACAGGCTGTATGGAACTTGTAAAACAGTTCAGTGGAAGACCCAAAACTTCGGACAAAATATTAAAACAGATTATAAGAGAGCACAATGGTAGAGGCCGACAGGCCAAACTGTAAGAAAGTAAAAATTGCACGATTACACAGTCCACAGTTTCAGCAGTGTTATCTAGCAGTTAATGAATGTTTAAAAGAATGTCTCATGCAGTATTTGTTTATTTTAATTTTCCCATGAAAGTTCCATTTACATACTTGGTTGAACAGTGAACCCCACCTCCTCTGTTTTTGCTCGTAACTCGAGTAAGTAAGAGTCGAGACGAAATTACTACGCCTTAATTCATAGGTGCTGGGCCAAACCCCCACGTCCTGACGCCCCTCGTCGAGGCCGTCCTCGAAGTGATCGGCGAGGACTCGCCCAACCTGTGCGGGTTGGAGGCCACCATAGGTGACACCGAAGAGTAGGTGACTGGTTTCTAGACCCGATTGTGTGAAGAGTAAATGGTTTTAAGGAACCGGTCACAGTAATGCAGAACTGTCGTTCCAGGCGAGGTTCTAAAAGACGAGGACAAATGATGATAAGAAGATGGGCATGTTGCCATTTGAATGGCATTACTGCCGAGTACTTTTATATAAAGACCAGAGGCCGGATGCCCGAAACTTTCTTACAACAAAGTTACAAACTTTTGAGTATTCCCGAAGCAAAATGTTTGTAAGTTTTGCGCAAGTTCTGACGAAATCCGTAGCTTGCGCAAAACTTACGATCTTTGTACTTCGGGAATACTTAAAAGTTCGTAAATTTGTCATAAGATAAATCTACTAACTTTTTTGTCGTAAGAAAGTTCCGGGAATCTGGCTTCAGTTCTATTTCAACAACAAAAGCTCAAAGGCGGTTCGAAATATAAGTCACGAAACCGTCTTCCAGAGTGCACTCTAAGATCTGACGAGGCACCAGCGCTACCACATTTCTAATTATTTTCAACAAGGCTGAAACAGTTTCACCGAAGCTACAAATTCATGCAATAACACGGCATGCAATGAGAAATCAGGTGGCAAAGCTGTTTATTACCATCTTATAGAAATTAAATGCAACAAAGTGGCAATGGCTTTTCTTTAATGCTAACTGTAGCACGCTTTCAATATGCAAATTAAAAGATCACACACAGTACAACCATCCTGTTGCTTGTTTTACCAACTTAGGAAAATTGGCTCAAACATTAACTTCATTCTGGTCAAGAAGTTAACTACCCCCATGATGGTAACCTGTGTGAGTGAAATCAATACCAGTGAAGCTATGTGCTGTAATGTTTGAAGTTGTCCTATAAATGTGCAGTGCATTGTGGTTTGACTGGACATGTGACCACTAAATTTATTAACTGTTAATCGCATAGCTACACAGCTGCATTCTAACCTTTAGAATGCAGCTGTGTGCTCTTCACAACCAAATGCACATTTTCCTACACCATGTACTGGGCAATTGTGCAAGAAGTAACAACACTGCGCTCCGACCTCAAGCCTGTGCGTCAGTGTATAAACCAACTTGGCTCACAAACTTTGTCCTCTGTACCAACCCGTATGAATGAATTTTGGCGCAGCATCGGTGTCTTTATCAGGGTTACAAACTTTGCACAGTGTGTTCTCTTTGCCCATGCTAACAAGAACAAAACCTGACCACTTTTTACACATGAATTTGTCGCAGTGACAGCTCCAGGGGAATAGATCCACAGCCTGGTCCCTCTGGGAGCGGAGCAAGTGCGGCAGTGCTGCACGAGAGTCGGCCGCTGGAGGCGGTGCAGCGGGCTCCAACAAATGTGCCATACAGCCGACGTTGGTGCCGGGAGGCTTTACAGCGCTTCTTGCAGGAGACAGAAAGGCAGCAGCAGCTCGAGGGAGCTAATCTCCTGCTGGAGAAGGAGAGCACAGAAATGGTTAAGCAAGCTGCCACGGCAACAATTGCAGCAGCAACTGCTGCCGAGGAGTTCTACCAGCAGTCAAAAAAATTACTAGAGGACCAAAAAAATTTAATTCAACTGGAAACACAGCGTGCAGAATTGGAAATCAAATTGCTAAAAAAACAATTAGGAGAAGAGTAAACATTGACATATTACGCTGTTTTTAATTTTCATTTTGAATGTATATATATATGACAAAGCCAACACAGCTGCTGATAAATAAAATCCATTTTACTTGCAACTGTATATTTCTAGATTCAGATCTGCTATACTCTGTCTCGTCCTACGATGGACTAAAGCCCAATGCTACACGCCGCCGGGTCCAATCACGAGCCTGTTTGAAACCATGTGGTATATTTGCTCCGTCAAACATATCGGTGCGCCGAAACGTGTCATGCGAAGACAAGTTTTTCATCTGCTTATCGAGAACTAACGGCGGCTCCGCCTGCTTGCAGGGTTTTTGCTCTAGTTCCTTGTCACAGCACGAATAGTTGCGACGCTCAAGGAATCTTGACTGCTGATCCATCTCCGTGTGCTCTGTCCGTACCGCCGTCAGCCTCGTATGCGCCTCAGTTGCCGCTAAGACTAAAAGCCTGCCTTGCATGTACTCATCGGAAGATCGTCTGGCTAATTTTATCATTTGCCTAATTTATCTTCGTATCTCCCTGAACCATAGCCTATGGTATTCGTGTTCCCGCTGCGCCGGGGTAATCGGCAGCAGTAGTCAAGCGTAATATGTGGGGACGGCGTGGGCGAAAATTCCACTCTCTTCCAACCTAACGCAGAAACAACATTTGGTATTCCAATGTTTGATCAATTAAAAACAAGCAGAATGCACTGGTACTCAAGACCATGCAAAGCAGCATGTGCAATATATTGGTATACTTACGCTCAACAGAAGAACTGGCTGACGATGGCATCCCGAGCCTCGTTGCTTTCATCACGGCCCGCTGCCACGGGCTCGACGGGAACCTCTTCGGGGAGGACAGTCCTTGGCATGCTGCAGGGGTATGTCTTGGCCAGGTTGTGCAGGACACAGCAGGCAACAGTGATGTCGCAGCATCTCTCTGGCTGCATCCTCAACTCAGCATGGAGGCAATGAAATCTCCGCTTGAGCTGGCCTATTGTCCTGCACAGTGTATAAATAGAGCAAGATCTGTTATCCTTTTGAAGTGGTTTATAAGAACATCTAATGAGATCGGCATGCGATGTCTATCATCGCTCCAGCCCATCGAAAACATGGTATTATGCCTAATAGTTAATATTTTTGTTGGAATATTTTAACATAGTAATGAAAATGCAGATTTTGTTAAAGATTTCAGTGATGTGATTGGTCTGAGTCATTTTGGAGCAGCCCTTGGAGCAGTCAAAAGTCAATTATGGTGCAAAAAAAAGAACTTTTGTAGCATAAGCGCACATTCATTTTTATTGATACCAATGCAAACATCACGTCAAGATTAATTTTTCGGCCTGTCCAACTAAAGGGCAAAGTCTACGTTGCCTTCTCACATACGTTCAAACCTTTGTTAGCATCAACTGCGCAGCAAGAGTTCCTCAAACACAAAACTATAGCGTTCAGTTGCGTGGAGAAGCACCATGACAGGGTAACAAAAAGGTGAGTGATGAAGGACAGCACAAACTCCTTTAAATGGTTATTTTAGGTACTGAATGCCACTAAATTAGTACAATAACATTGGTCACATAAACTGATGTTTCCTTCAAGTTCTAGAGGTTGTAATAAAACTGCAATTTATAAATGAGATAAAAAAACAAAGCAATTATCATTTGATTATCAACATAAATTACATTTTATCTGTAGAACTTCAGAGCAAAAACGGCATGTGAACGAAACTTAAAAACAAACCCGCCGAACTCATTCAGGCTGTTCCTGAGATTTCATCCACTGCTCCTGTCAATTTAGTTCTAATCTACTCGCACCTACAGAAAATTGATAGCTAAACAAATGAGTTGGCATAAATAAATAAACATGCATAAGAGCATATATAAATGCTCTTGCAATACCAAAGTACCCTTACTAAATCTCGAAATTGGAAAAGGTGCCGCCGGGATCTTGTAATCCATCATATTTACGAGCCGAAGTTGTGTTCAGGAATTGTGTTGAGTCTCACTTTGGAGGAGAGCTTTCTCCTTAACACAGGGTCCGCTGCAGAGAAGCAAGACATACAAAGTTGCGATGCCTACTCCGTGGTGTTTGCTTCTTTGCAGTACACCGGTGCGTGGTGAAAAGCGCATTCAACGACACTATAGTCCGTTGCAACCTAAGAACGAAGGGCGAGGGTAAGACGGGTTGGGGAGGAGGAAGCAGGCGGAACGCTAAAGAGAGAAGGAGGTTTCCCCCTCTCTTCTCTAGCGTTCCGTCTGCTTCCTCCTCCCCGGCCTGTCTTACCCTCGCCCTTCGTTCTTAGGTTGCAACGGACTATAGCTAACCCTCCAGAATGAACTGACGACTAACATAAAAATTATTGCGAAACTTCCAGATATTGCCTGTCATTCATACGAAATGTGATGGAATGGTATCGTATACGAGACTATAATCAAAAGTTTTGAAAACCTGAAAACTTGCGTAAGCATATCGTGACGGTCCGGCCGGGCAGCGAAGCCCGAGCTATTATATTTTCAGTATTATTAAAATGAAAATAAGTTTTGGTGCTACGTTGGTGCAAATTTCTCACATTTTTGTTAAATGTAGCAGGACGTAGCAGGGTAATCACTTTGGCGCAAATGGCGCAGCAATCCCATCACAGATATAATGAAAATGTTCTTCGCAAAAACTTGCAAGGAAAATTGCAGTTTGAGATAAGCAGTATTTAATAAGATATGCTTGAATAAGTCTGTACACAAACTGTCTAAAAACAAAACCTGCCTAAGCCAGTGTTTTTTTTTCACATTGCAAGCTGTTTTTTTTTTTTCTAAGAATTGCTTTACATTTAGGCAATATAGAGTAACAAAAAAAAATTAACTGCTATTGTTTGAAATGTGTAAACAGCTAGTAAAAACCTGTAGGTTAATAAACCCAGTCATACAGGAAGGATATGTTTCTGAGAAGTTCTAACTTCTATTCTGGAGTTTATACAGAAAAGAGCAAATGAAATATAACAATTATTGTGACATACAGAGTTAACTGGCTAATGGTTGAATTTTGTGAATTGATGTTCTTCATTCCCACAATGCTGGCTAACCTTAGAATAAACATTTCAGGCTATGGCAGTAGGTTATAGCCCGTAGTATAAATAAGGTATAGTAGAGATACGCCTTCCTCTCCTTGCTTCTGAGCAGCCGTAGCCTACTATGCAAGAACATAAAAATGGCAACAAATGTAAAGCTCAGGCACAACCACATAAAAAAGGTTAGGTGCCTCAAGGTACCGAAACACTGAACCGTCGAACCAGGACGCATAGCCTGGCTTTACCGTTCCACGATGCTCCTCGTTGTGCTATGTGACGCATTGTAGGCGACCTCCGCTGCTGATGACGGAGACAGGAAGGGCGTCATCAGCCATGGCTTGCAGGTGTAGCCGCTGTCTCCAAGCAGTAGGCCCTCGTAAACGCCATCGGCCAGCTTGCCTGACAACGAGCCCTCGGTGAATATCCTAGAGTCGTGGGTGCTTCCAGGCCATTTTGCAACCACATTGCGGATACGGTAAAAGACGTCAACCACTAACTGTACATTTATTGAATGGTACAGATGGCGGTTAACGTACACCTCCTCATGCACTTGTGGTGCCTGTATCCGAATGTGAGTGCCATCAACAGCACCCACGACCGAAGGAAACCCACCGATCTCAAAGAAGGCCTGTTGTAAGGCATGACCCTCAGCTTCACCTGGCCACCTGCATTGTAGATGGATTTGAGTGAGTCTGTAGCACTATGACATTAACAGTGACAGTTTTGTTGTTATGATCACATGCTTCAAAATAACACAGCTATCATTCATCGTCATCAATAGTGAGCAATAAAAGCCTCGTCTGCACAATGACAGTACTCAGTAGCCGCAAGACTAGCTCAGTAGCAACAAGTGCATAGTTGGGAGTGCAGAAACCAGGCTGTTTGTAAATGTCTGCACTCCTACTTTATTTGTAGATTAGTTGAATTTGCACCTGCATCAATAATAGGTACTAAGGGAGTCATTTTGTACACTCCAGTTGGTTCGTGTAATTTTACTGCCCAGTTCACTGGTCTGCATGTCACGCTCATTACCAAAAAACAAATATCGAGTGCTGAAGCAACACTTTTAATGATCCTTTAGGGAGGTACCAGTATACGTGAGGATCGATGCGCTGGCAGATATTCAGGCTAGCAAGCCTACAGCTTAGGAAACAAAAACGAAAGGGTCATTGCGCAGGTGGTGCGCCGTAAATAAATTGCAGAATAGGTGTGCTGAGAAGACCACCTTCAACGAATTCGGGGGTTTCAGCGAACACAATTCACGCACCGAAATTTCTATACAAAGGGTTTCTGAAATAATGGTGATTGCTCATCGAGCAATCTAGGCCCAGGCTTTTTTTCTCGGAAAACTGGCCTGCACATGCGCCTAATATCGGGACGCACCAGAGATGCTCCAGACCACTTACCCTATGAAGTCTTGGGCACGACGTGCCAAGGCCTGAGTCACCCGCCTCACAGTCCGCGAAGCAGTGGAGACGTGCACACGGATGTAGTCCCCTGCGGTGATGAGGAAGTTCCCCGTGGCGTAGAACTGTAAGGCGACAATGACCTGCTGCTCTGCAGAGAGGGCGCGGCTGCGACGCGTCGGCCGCTCCAAGTCCGGGCGCAGTGTGTCGACGAGGAACACAATGCCCGCGCGACCGAATCGAAAGCGCTCCTGCAGTTCGTCCTCATCGAACTCCTCCAAAGGGTTCAAGCGGTCACGGAACACACGCTGCCGTCCCATCATCACAACAGCGTACTGGGCGAACACGCGCTCTCTTCGATGTCGGCGTCGCGTCACAGTCGACATTGCGTCCCTTATCTTCACCAATCCGTCCGCAAATCAGTTGTCAGTCAGTCCGGTAGTCAGTCGGCGAGCGAGTCGGAGGGTCGGTTGGGCAAACGGCAGGAGAAGACAAACAGTGAAAATCAGGTGATAACTAAAGCGCGGGAAACGTGCGTCGCAAAACACGGAGAACAAAACAACCAAAAACAACGAATCTATAAAGACCGTTGCCAGACCCGAAATCAACGCTGCAAACTTATGCTGTGTTTGGCGGCACAATAGATGCATCAAGATATTTATTATTTTTTTAAAGTACATATATATTTTCATGCATAAAAAGAAACATTGTGATACGATGTTGTTTTTATTTTTCTTAATAAAGACAAAACTAGCAAAAACGTTTCTTAAAAGGCTATTGTTTGCTTCGACCGGAAGGTGGCGGGAGCTACCGCATAATAATAAAACACGGAGAAATTGTGCGTTGAGTTTTTGTCGAACGCGGCTAGGTACTCGGATGTACCTAGGTAGGGAAACGCGGTTAACTTTTAACCGCGGTTAGAGTTAACCAGCTTCGAGCAAACGGGCCCTGGAGTGCAAGTGCACATTACGTGTTTCAGGCAGCCGAACGAACCTCAGATGCCGGAGGAAGATGTGACACACACCAAGCAGGTGGCCAGTGCACGTTTAGTTATTGAACGCGCCATCGGAAGGATTAAGCAATTTCACTTCTTTGATTGACCTTTCCCCATTTCCGTGATAGATATTGAAGATGACGCGTTTCAGGCTTGTTGTTTTTTAAGCAACTTTCGTATGCCGCTCAGCCGTGCCAAGTAGCAGCAGGACATATGTGTCGGCTTCCGCAGCAAACTTCAGCTTGATAACATTTTAGAATAATTTCTTCTTGTGGTTGAACTCCAGGGTTTTGTTTTTAAATGCAGCGTGTCGCAGATGGTTTTCAGGTACTCTAAAGGGACCACAAAAATCACTTTCTTAAAGTGGTCTTCAAAAGGAGCCATACAACAATATTCGTTTGAAATGTTTTCACTTTACACGAGCTTACTGGCACTAGTGGGACCCAAGTATACCATTACGCAACGCCACTGACGGAAAACCTCCTTGGTTGTGGTGGCAATTCAGGAACAGAAGCGAGCGTTTTCTTTCAATCTCTCCTTCACAAGACTTGATGATGTAGCTGCGAATCGCAGAATCCCCAGTGACAATATTTAAAGGCAGCTCGTAGAAAAAACAAGTTTGGCTGTTTATACGGCCTAGAACTTAGTCTGCCAGAACATGGCGACATTCTTACCTACTGTAGATAAGCAGTTTATCTAGTGCAGTACGGCTGCTAGCCTTGGGTCCTTAACGTGTACCATGCAGTTGGGATACACAACCGCACCGGCACAACCCCATTGAAAATATTTCTAAAGGGCCCGTCAGCCTTAAAGGATTATGGGACCTCACAGGCCTTCAAAACCCTTCAAGAATACCCTTCAGAAAAACCCTTCACGGATACCCCATAGAAAAAGCCTTTAGCCCCACAAACCTTCAACCCGTCAAACCCTTTACCCCATCAACCCTCTAGACGCCCAAATGACTGTGAACCATGGACAAAAATGCAGTTCAAAAGAATATTGAATATTTATTGCGGGCATTTAGTTTTACATGCATATTATATCTCAAAAAGTGATAAAAAGCAACGCTTGTTCAAACCGGGCGCGAGATGCTGTAGACGAAAGAGATCACATCAAATAGGGACAACTGACTTCTTTATCACAAAGAAAAATATCTTTCAAAGTACTCACAATGCCGCTGGGTATATTCCTGATGTACGGTAGTTCAGCTAATAAAACCGAGCAGGTGCACCTCATGGACACCTACACAGTCTCAGTAAGCACGTTTTGCGAAAACCACGAACTCGCACGCAGCAGCCGCCGCCATTGAGAAATCCCGAGCACAGTCACGGTTTCGTCGATAATGACGTCGCGCCGGCGTCTTCGGCGTATTTTTCGCTCGCTGGATGCTTCTGAAGTCGAACGGACGAAGAGGCGGAAGGAACAAGCCCGGAAAACGGCCGTCATCCACCGTCTCAGGACCCACAGTGGCATAATCCCGGTGCGCAGGCACGACATGCGGTGGGACGCTGACCCCGACTGCGAGGCTTTACAGCGAGTAAGCTGACACCGGCCACCATCTCCTTGAATGGGCTGAACACGATGGCGCTCGAGCGGTGCTGAAGGCGGCCAACGCCGAATTGGGGATCACCTGCGGAACCAAGGACGAAACTTCACTGATCAAAACAGACCAAGGGGCGAGCCCTCAAAGCCATGCATGCTCACCTTCCTGGAGGAAATTGGTCCGCTCCGATCGCCCGCGGCGGCTCGTGGGCTAACCGGAACCGCCCACGAGCAGAAAGAAAATAGCTATAGGCTCCTTGCATTGACGTCACATCGCACACATTTGCACACCAAGTAAAAGGAGGAGAGGGAAGCTGCTTTTGTAAGAATTTTGAGTGACGGGTTAATCTTCTATAATCTTCTGGGAGGAGAATAGCGACGCCTGTGCAAATCCGGAAGGCACAAAGGAGGGTCCTGATAAGAGGGGAGCTCCTTCTCCCCCTCTTCTCTGGAGGGTATCGGAAATGACGTCATGTGCAAGGAGCCTATACTGGCGGCTGGCCTCCCCCGCTTACACACACCACCCTCTCCCGCCGACCGCTGGCCTGGCTGCCCTGCACCCTCTCCCCATCGCCGGGCGGAGAGAAACTCAGTGTGGATTGCTTTTTGGGGACCGTTCCCCGTCAAGGAGCCGGTTCCCCGAACGAGTCGCTCCCGCGTGCGTCCCTGTACCTGGAAAGCGCGCACTGCTCTCGGCTTTTCTTTTTATTTTTTATTCATGGTTGCACGGATTTCGCCTCGAGAGGGCAAGATTCCGTTCGCCTCAAAACGCCGCTCGGCCAATACCACTCGGCCCGCGGCTCGTCAATTCTCCACATGGGGCGGTCGCCCTCGGTGGCCTCCTTGGCGACCGAACACCCGGGCAGTGACAGACGGGTCCAGGAGCAGTAATAAAATCTGATCGTACACACATACGATCGACATTCTCCAAATACCTATTTTTGTTTTCCCGTAGCGTACAATAAGCAGCTATGTTCTAATTCGGGGAAATGTGTTTTCTCCACCTAAGCCGTTGCCCACAGACATCTGAAGAAGCCTGAAGGTTTTCCCGACCCCATTAGAAAAGTTCTTGACAGGCTTTCAGACATTTCAAGGCGATGTAAAGGGCACTTCAGAGGTTTCAGGAGAGCCTCTGACGGGGCCAGCGAACCCACCAGGGAATATCGGTGCCCCCTTCAAACATCTCGAAAATTCCTGAAGTCCCCTTCACACCCTTTAAAAAAATCCTGAAGTCCCATCAGAGCGATTTTCAATAGGGAATGCTCATCCAGATCGATACTGGCAGAGGTGGGGATTGAACCAAGGATCCCTGGGTTCTTAACTCTCACTGGGGGATATGTTTATAGTCCGTTGCAACTCAAGAAGGTAGGACGAGGGAAAGAAAGGACGTGGAGAAGGAAGGAGGCGGAACGCTGGAAAGAAAAGGGGGAAACCTTCTCAACTGTGTTTCGTCTGCTTCCTCCTCTCGGACCTTCTTTTCCCTCGCCCTACCATCTTGAGTTGCGGTGGACTATAGGAACCCTTGGAGCCAACCCGTAACATGGCTAATTTCAGCTTTGTAATCAACATTTCTTTTTTTTAAATGTCAATGAATAGAGTGTAGTGATGCCGCGATGCAATTGTGTTCGAGGGAAGCTCAGACAGGAGGACGTTAGCATGCTACAACGGACAAAGAGTGTCTCCGCTTAAGATGATAAATTTCGCCAGTGCAGTACGACCGCAAGCATATGGTCTCTAACATGCATCATGCAGTAGTAATAACACTAACGCATCCTGGTATGATGCTCATAAAAATTGGCAAGGGTGGTAATTGGACCTAGGATCTCCGGGCTCTGTGACTCGAGCTTTTGCTTTACATGCTTTGTGCTGTGACGTGCTATACTCCATTTCACGATAATTTTGCGAACTATTAAGGCTGCGGTTCCCGTGATCCAATAAGGGCGTCGGAGCAAGTCACATGATAACACTTCATGTTTGAAGCCACCGAGGCCTCGTCACCGCCACAGTAACAGCGCCGTCCGCAAAAAAGAGTAATTCAATCTTTCATTTCTTTTTTTTTGTGCTAACTGAACTTGAGTTATTCCATCTTGATTGAGAATATATAAAAAAATGAATGAAAAGATATTGGCAAATTTTAATGATATCTAAACCAAAAAAGTAACGCGACATTCATATCCAGTTCGATTTTTTTTTTCTTCTTGTAGTGCCATGGCCGTTGGTGATAGCAGCCTTGTAATCAACCGCTTCCACATACAGGGCAACTATGGTCAAAAACTAAACCGAAATAAATTACTGGTACCACTTTAGTGGCACAAATCTCGGCCTGCAGACAACAGCTGGTTCCTTGGTGCAGTGACACACACGCTCCCGCTATGTGGTGTCACGTGCCTCGCTCCGACGCCCTTATTGGGTCGCGGGGGCTGTAAGCTCCACAGTTCGCCAAGTTATTATAAAACGAAGTGTAGCACTCTTAGTCACCCCCTCCCCCCCCCCCCCCCAGCGCCTGCCACGATTGTCCTTAATCACATTTGACTGTTACCCGCAAATGGCATATGAGTTTAGATTAGATATACCAAGGTATTTGATGTCCTCGTTTAATTATTTCATGCGTGTGGTCTGTGGTCTCAATGTCTGGTGGGCTGTGCATTTTCTGTATGATTATGCATCTTGCCAGTATGTGTTAGGAATGCAACAATTATTATGACTATAGCTGCTTTGTACGGTGTCGATCTAAAATTCACTGTTTTTCTTATGCAGTTCGGGCTATTGCTGCCTCATATTTAGTGTGTCGAGTTGGGTCATGTTGTGCATCAATTTTTATTTAAATCTTCTATGTGGGAAGTACATGAA